GCCAAAAGCAAAACCTGATGTTTTTCAAACAAGTTCTGCAAAACAGAGCAGCGTCCTTGTCTGTGGTTTCATCTAATACGACCAAATGGGATTTTAGGGCCTTCCATTTCTCTTTCTGTTGACATCAGACTTCTGTCGAGCAATCCATGAATTCACAGTCTAGTCTGTAGACAGGTCTGTACAGACAAGGAAAACAATGAGTCAATTACTGTTCAAACACTCATATCATGTCTGTGACAGTCACTGCTGCTGCTGCTGCTGCTGCACTTCCTGTTGTTTTCTGAACAGGTTCATCGCGTTCACCAGCATGTTTTATAAACATATTGGGTATAAATGGTTAATACATGAATAGTGTGGTCCACATTTGGTTAGCGATTAGCTTTTAATAGCAAATGGGCAGATTCGGTGTCCAACTTCAGACAGAAATTCCTGTTTTTTATTTAGGGTGAAAAAGTTATAATAATATTAAAAATACCTATGATTTGTATTTCATATGTGTGACTGAATTGAATGATAAAAAAATATTCCTATTTTATCATTATATAAAAATATGTTATTATTAATATAGTGATAACAATAATAAAGCTGGGCGAGGTTTTGATAGTAATCTTTCCATAGTCAATCGTTGTGTCATCAGGGAAATTCCTCCTTTATGACACACCGACAGTCACCGACCAAAGAAATACCTACATTGGCTGTTTTGCCGCAGCTTGCGCTGTGGCTTAAACGCAGCACGACACACATCCTGCCACGGAGACGGTCGCCACTGCTGCTGTGAATCACAATTGTGAACGGGGGGACGGTGGTGGGTGTCATATTTACCCTAAGGATACAAAAGTCTTTTATTCAGCGGAGCAGAGTGAATGGAGGCATTTTCTGTCAGTTTAGAGGAGCTGGCTTTGCTCTGTGCTGGTATTCTTTGTTGAACGGAAACACAACGCGAGCACTCAAGTCTCAGCACCAGGAACAAACAAGTCACGGAACACCGTAAAATAACCGATCGATGAGACGCAGGGGCGAAAAACAAGCTGTTAATTGATTGCAGTCGCAGTTGCTAACAACTTTCCCGCTGTAGCTGTGGTTTTAAATAGGTATTGATCAACACCTGCTTACGCAAACTATTGATGGTTGTGAGGCATGTGTTGGATCACGTCTCTCTGCCTCTGTGCTGGTAAGGCCTAAAATAAAAACACCAAACTCGCAATAACATGGACCTCCATTCCCGTAAGGCATTTTTTAGGCACGGAGGAGGTGAAATCTCACCAAGCCTGCTGTGTAATTATGTTAATGCTCGGCCACTGGCAGGGCCTATAAAGAGGCTGTAATCAGAGGGTCAGCCTCCCTGAAAAACTGTCCAAAT